AGAGAGAGAGAGAGAAGCAGAGGGAGAAGCAGGCTCCCAAGGAGCAGGGAGCCCGATGCGGGACTCGATCCCAGGACGCTGGGATCATGACCTGAGCCGAAGGCAGACGCTTAACCGTCTGAGCCACCCAGGCGCCCCTAGTCAGTGTTTTTACTACGAATTCACACCTTTTAGTGTTAGCACATACCAGGCCCTCTCTGTGTAATAGTAAGTGCTCATGTGTTGTCTGACGTGTTCCACACCAATTTTTCATTCTCAAGCCAGATCACTTTGGTTGTGTCTCTGTATATCCTATGGTCAAAATTTGTATATTTGCTAAGAAAATAAAATGCAGAAGGTTTAATTTTGCCATAGAAATTTTTGGATATACAGTTGTTTGTAATATTACACAAATATTTTGTGAAATATCGACCTTCAGATAAAATCTGTTCCAGTGTTTGTTTTGCAGTTTAAGTGATCATTGTTTTTATTGCTACTGAAGGAATTATCTGAAGCTGAAAACCAGTTTAAGAGGATGATTGAACACTACCCCAATGAGGGACTTGATTGCTTGGCCTACTGTGGAATTGGAAAAGTATATTTGAAGAAGAACAGGTTAGTAGAAACTATGTTCTTTTACACTCAGGTTGGATAACTCAGTTGAAGTCTAATGTTGTAGTGGAGGTCCCTTTTCTGGAATTATATTGTTATCTTCTCTGTGGCAAACTATTATCATCATGTTTGCTTGGAGGACCAGCATTTCTATATCATTAATTATTAAAATATGGCCAATCAGGGACGCCTGGGTGGCTCAGTCATTAAGCGTCTGCCTTCAGCTCAGGTCATGATCCCGAGGTCCTGGGATCAAGTCCCGCATTGGGTTCCCTGCTCGTCGGGAAGCCTGCATCTCCCTCTCTCTCACTCCCCCTGCTTGTGTTCCCTCTCTCACTGTCTCTCTCTGTCAAATAAATAAATAAAATCTTTAAAAAAAAAAAAATATGGCCAATCAGTTCAGCTCCTAGTGCTTCCTTATTTTCAATCTCATAAGAAAGTCAGGAACAAAATGATTTGACACAAAGGATTTTGTATTTTTTCTGTTAGTATATGTCACTTATAAATGGTGACCGAATTGATATAAATTAATGCTTTACAAGTCTGATTGTATAATTTCTTGGTTACCAAAATATCTGTTTCCACTCAAAAACCTGTATGAAGTGGTTTTAATATGAGATAGATATCTGTTCAAAGACATCATGAGTTAGGAATAAAAATCTCTTCTCAGAACTTTTTCTATAGTTGGAATCCCTACTCAGTTTAGTATGTAGTTGTTCTGCAAGCATTTCATGTCTTATCTTCCCAAATTGCTGTATGACCCTTTGGGGTTAGGATTATGTATTGAGCTTTAAAAAAAACTCCCTGGTTCACTGCTTGCTTGGACAGCACATAGACTAAAATCGGAATAATACAGAGAAGATTAGCATGGCCCCTGTGCAATGACGATACACAAATTTGTGAAGCGTTCCATATATTTGGCACAATAAAACTATCATTAACTGTGAAACAACAATAACAAAAAGAAAACCAAAAATCTCCCTGTTCCTGCATTTAACACCCAATATATTGGTAGGTGTGTTAGATTACTTTATAAATAAATAATTATTGACTGATTGAATATTATTCATAGCTTTTAATCTTGAATTTTCATCTGTCCTTTTAGGGAAATTTTTCTTAAGATTTTTATTTTTAAATAATCTCTACACCCAACCTGGGGCTCAGACTCACAACCCTGAGATCAAGAGTTGCATGCTTTTCTGACTGAACCAGCCAGGTGCTCCCAAGGGAAGTTTTATCAGACCTTTGGGACTCTTGGGAACCCAGTCTTGGAATGTGCCTAGAACTTCCTTTATAGATTTTTTAGAGATTAAAGAAAGTTCTTTTACTTCCAGAAGTTACTGTGTGACCAGGCTGAATTATATTAAGAATCAAGTAGAGGGAGGGATAGTGAGGATTTAGCAATCATCTGTATAGGAACAGCAAATGAAATTAATTTCAAAGCTTGGCATAACTTATTTAAGATATACGTTTTTAATGCAGTAGTCACATGTAATTATTCATAAGATCTAGGAATATATCATAAATGTGTAACATCATGGGAACTATGGTAAATGAAAAAGTCTTTGCCTTTTTTTTTTTTAAGATTTTATTTATTTATTTATTTGACAGAGAGAGGCACAGCGAGAGAGGGAACACAAGCAGGGGGAGTGG